AAGAAGAAGAAAAGCAAAGGCAGAATTGCTGTTAACTGATGTTATCTTTATTGTATAGTTTGAGCCTTTCTGTACACTGCTTAGAGAATAGGCTGTTGAATGGTAGTTACAGGTAGGTAGCCGTGTTCGTCTGCCATAGTCGGAACAAAATAAAAGAATTCCTTCCAGTAGCACCTTAGAGACCAACTTGTTTGTTCTGGGTATGAGCTTTCGTGTGCATGCACACTTCTTCAGGTAAATGGTATATAATTTGTTGAAATAAATGAATGAACGCTTGTGGGAACAGCAGGAGTGGATTCAGGGCTTGCTTCTGGTACTGATCAGATTCCCAAGCTGAGCATCTGTTCAAAGGCATCCTTTTTCTCAGCTCTTAGGATCCAGCCACCTGGCTGAGCCACCATTTTGTAACCAGCTCTGGCTAATGGACCTTAGGGGTCTAGTAAAAAATAAAATAAGAAATTCACAAGATCTCTCAAGGATGAAGTTGTGGCAGAGACAATACGAATAGGCCTGACCCAGTATGAGGCAGCTATTTTCCTAGGTCTTGGCCACGGTAGACTTTTTAGGCTTTGCCCTTGGGTGGGAATAGCATTGCGCCCGGGACAGGGAAATGGGAGTCAAACATACACTCAAGGAATAATTTCAGAGCTTTATTTCTACCATCCAGACTGGTAGAAGGAGCAAGCGTGATAACTCACAAGCTTAGCACAAGTTCACAGCCATTTGCACAGAGCATATATTCCACTCCAGTTTCCTTCCTTCCTGAGCATGAACAGAAAGCTCCTGTCTTTGGGACTCTTGGCGCCCTTCCCAGGAAAGGGGGATGAGAAGCCAAGGGGGTTGAGGAGCCTTGCGGTTCAGCGTGTCCAAGATGTGTTGCAACTGGATGAGATAAGACTCAGTTCCCAGGCTTGCTTCATGCTTGGCACTGACAGAGCCTATTCATTAGCCTTTTTGAAGCTCTCTCGTACTGATAAAAGTTACATTTTGCCTGTGCAGCAGCATCTTGTGAGAAAGCAGAGAAGAGCTGAAGCTGCTGTGGATTTTTAGAAGAGAGAAAGGGAATTTTGGGCAGTTTTGAGGCCTGAGGTGATTTTGGGGTGATTTGGGTATCCTGTGCCTTCACCACTACGGAAGATTAATTGCATTTTTAAGGCGGCATCTGGTACAATCCAAAACCATCAGAAGGACAGCTCCGTTGATATCATCTGGCCCAGGAATCTTCTGGAAAGACTTCTCATCGAATGCTACCTGCAAAAAGCGTTAGGATGCAGTTGCTCATGACTCTTGCTTACAAGCCTTTTCCTGGGAAAAGCAGAAATCCAACCGGACGAAAAGTTCAGAGAAGAGCACTTCTTTGCAACTGCCTCCTCGGGAAGAATTCCAAAAGCACGCAGAGAGAGGGAGACACTCTTATTTATTTTATTAACAAAAAGTCTTAGTAGAACAAAAGACCCCTAAGCAATTTAACAAGGCAGGCTAAAATATTCATTTAAAACGCCAACAGAAAGGAATCATTAAAAAGAAGCAACATAAAAAACAAATACAAAATAAAATCAGTGATTAAAAGAAAACACCAATTATACCTACTAAAATGTCAAGCCTGGGCAGGCTTCCTAGAACAAATAGGCTTTTAGCAGGCATTAAAAGCAGTACAGTGAAGGCACCCGCCTAATATCAATGGACAGGGAGTTCCAAAGGGTAGGCTCTCTGCCACACCGAAGGACTGATTTCTTGCCTGCAAGAAACTAATCTTATGTAGCACTTGTAGAAGTGGCAGCTCTGCACATCTAAGCAGTCAAGCGGGCACATATTCTGCTGCAAGCTAGAATCGAGGCCCTGAATGACAGGGCCATGCCAGCGTCCCATATTTCAGTTTGGTATTGCGAGAGGTATTTTGTTTCTCATTTTGTGCTTCTATGCTGCAAACCGCCCTGTGCTCTTTGGATGAAGGGTGATAAGTTTAATAAATAATAATTGTTAAGTTGTGGGTGAACATATCAGACGACACAGTGATTCCTCAGACAGCTCTTGTTTATTCACAGGCCAGAACAGAACTGAACTGAAGGGTTCAGCCAACCTGCTTATATAGAGCTCCACTACAAAGCAACAGTAACAACTTTCTGTATCCAATCACTGAGCGTCACTTTCAATTCCTTTTTTGCATATGTGGACCTGAGTGAAAACTATCTACAGTATCCCCCTGCTGGCCCAGGGTGAGAATTTCAGTACATAACAATATTAGGACTCCCCTCGACCCCAGAAGGCTTCATAAGATTTCCAGATCAGGATGACCCCTCCCTCTCAAACTGCACCCTTGCTTTCTTCAGTTTGGTAAATACTGAATTTGCCCAATTTGGACATACACATCCTGGGGCCCTGTGCATTTGCTGGTGGTGGTAGTCTGTGTGTGGAATGCATCGGTGCACCAAGATGGGGTCAAAAAGCAGCCAAAAAAGGCTTTCAGCTAATTTTTGTTTTGTTTTTTAATTACCATGAGCAAGTGAAATGAGCAGCATTTAGATGAACAAGTGGGGGGAGGGGGGCAGTAAGAGAAATGGTGGTGTTGGTACAGTGGTGCCTTGCAAGACGAAAAGAATCCATTCTGTGATTCTCTTTGTCTAGCGGTTTTTTCGTCTTGCGAAGCAAGCCCATTGCCGGATTAGCGCTACTAGCGGCTTTTAGCGGCTTGTCTGCTGATCGGATCAGCTGATAAGTGGCTTAGCGGCTTAGAAAAAAGGGGGGAAACCCGCAGGAACTCGCAAGGCATTGTCGTCTTGCGAAGCAAGCCCATAGGAAATTCGTTTTGCGAAGCACCTCCAAAACGGAAAACTCTTTCATCTAGCAGGTTTTCCATCTTGCGAGGCATTCGTCTTGCGGGGCACCACTGTATCTGGCTGCCTTGGGAGACGACAGAAGAAAGCTCCTTTAGCGGTGAAGTCAAACCGCAGGAGAGTTGCAGCGCCTGCGTTTGTTGCCAATATGGGAGAGGCGTGTTTTATTGCAAGCAAGACAGATGAAGGCGTCCGGCTGTGCTGCTTCAGGTGCACCAGGGGGGATGGCAAGGCAGGATTTTAAAAAATGGTACAGTCATACCTCATGTTAAGTTTGCTTCATGTTACGTTTTTTCAGGTTGCGTCCCGCGGCGACCCGGAAGTACCGGAAAGGGTTACTTCCAGGTTTCGCCGCTCGCACAAAAGCACTAAATCGCGCTCTGTGCATGTGCACAAGCGCCAAATCACGCTGCGCACCTGCACAGATACGGCGCTTCAGGTTGCGGGCTTTTCGTGTTGTGAACGGGCCTCCGGAACGGATCCCATTTGTAACCAGAGGTACCACTGTACAATCTATTTTTTCGTAGAAAAGAAAAAGGCAGGCCTGATAAAAAAGAAAGAATAGGCCGTTTCTAGGAAGGGGAAAAGAGTGCAGTTGTGGCAACCATTTTTAAAAAATATTCAAAGTGCTGCTGTTAGCTTACTTTGCCCAATTATGTGCCCACTGCTCCACTTTGATCTGTGGAATGGGCACTTTTATGAGTGCCACGGGTTCGTTCCACACTTTTAATCTTTTAGTATGGCAGCACCTGCCTTCTGTACGTCCCTGCCTATTAATGCCCGGCAGGTGCCTTCACTGTACACACACACAAATTGTATTATTTGTTACTATTATTGAATGCTTTATACCGTGTTTTACAAACTGCTTTAGAGTAGGGCTGGGCGGTATCTGGTTTCCAACATCGTGATATATCACCAGCTAAAAGTCGTGATACACCGATATACCACAATGTCCGAAATAAGGATGGAGCTACGTAGAGGCATTGGCTGGCTTCACAGTCTCTCCCACATTGTGATTTTGGGATAGCAAACGTACAGCTAGACATCATGATTCGCAAAATATTGCCAGGTCAAAAAATATGAAACCACCAGAAGGCGGAAAATGTGAAAACAACGAGGAGAGGCAGGACTGAAGATTTGGAGATATGCTTCAGAGGTCCAGACTATGGGGAGCCCGGAAAAATTAATAATTACAATTTGGATTACAATTTAGTCTTTTTTAATTTCAGTTTCTTGTTTTTAATTGGATTATGATGCGGATATGTTGATTGGTTGTTTTTATTGGAAAATCAATAAAAATGATTTTTTAAAAAATGAAACCAATAGCGTGGTATGGACTTGAAACCAGGTTTGGATGATATTATCGATGCATCGCCCAGTCCTACTTCAGAGGATTTTTTAATCAAGCGGTACATTAATATTGCAAGATAAAAAATGCATTATGGCTGCCTTGCTTCTTAATGATTTCGCTTGCTGCTCTGCAGAGTCAGAGCATAGCCACCCTGGCTAGTGGCCATCAATGGCCCTCTCCCCTTTCATGAATTTGCCAACTACTCTTGTAAGGTAAAGGGTAAAGGGACCCCTGACCATTAGGTTCAGTCGTGGCCAACTCTGCGGTTGTGGCTCTCATCTCGCTTTATTGGCCGAGGGAGCCGGCGTACAGCTTCCGGGTCATGTGGCCAGCATTACTAAGCCACTTTTGGCGAACCAGAGCAGTGCACAGAAACGCCGTTTACCTTCCCGCCGGAGTGGTACCTATTTATCTACTTGCTTTCCATCAAGAGAAGCCCTATTCTCTTAAGAGGTATGCCAGGGCAGAGCAGAGGAAGCGTGCAGGAAGGCAACTGGTGAACGGCAAATAATTGCCGTGAGCATCGCGCGACACCCGTGGAGGAAGTGGATTCAAACAGAAGCAAAACTCTGCGTAGGAGTGTGTTTGCATAGAATGCAAGGGGAGGGGCTACCTGTCGGGGGCAGAACCATCCCCAAAATTGGGTCACACCTGTTGCTCTGTCTGTTGCTTTTGTACAGTAGGTAACAGAGCCACTTGCAAGGTGGAGATATTTATTCACACACAGACCTTCCCCCATCGATTCTCCATCCAAAGGCATTATTATACCAGTTCAAGGAGACATTCCAGACATGAAAGAGCATTCAACGAGGGTGCAGAAGAGGGTCAACAGTCTTTATGGGTCACATAAAGAGGTCCTGGGGGTCGTATTTGGCCTAGGAGTCAACTCTTGATATAGAGGCACTGGGTGAGGAGGGATGACGATCTTAACGCTTTCCCCGGGAACGAATCAATCTATTTGGAGGGCCAGGAACTCTCCCTTCTTTCCTCGCCTCCCTCCCCAGATTCCTATTTCTTCTTGTAAAGTGCAAAAGCCACCACTGCCACCACCACGGCACACCCTGCGAGGAGCCACGTATAACTGCGTGAAGTCAATGGTGCATCGCCTCTCTCACTGGGGAGGGAATCCCTCGCACTTTCGGAGCGGGGCCTGGCGCTTTTGACCGGCCGCTGCCTGTCGTCCGAGCCGGGCCAGGCACCCGGGGATCGTTTGCCAGGGCTGCCCGGCAAACCAGGGGCTCCTTCAAGATCCACACTAGGGCTCTCCTCCATTTTGAAGGTGAAGGTTCGGATGGAACCATCACCGTCCTGGTGGTTGCCACGTGAAAGCTGACGGGAAGCGACGCGGGCTTCATCCCTGCCCGGATCAGCGACGTCGGCCGGACCAAAGCATCTCTCTTCGGACGAGCTGGGATTGCTGATCATCAAAGGGTCGCTGCCTTCAGAGAAATTGCTGAGGCGAAGCCTATCAGACCTCCCTGAATATGCAGGATTTGTCTCTTTTTCACTCAGCTGCTGATCAGGCGATCCTGCTGCATTTACACTCTGTACTGAATGCAGAACGCCTGGTTTGCAGGGTTCGTCGTCGTCGTGATTGGTAGAGAAGACACCGTAATCTCTGGGATGGTGAAAGACTTTGTTCGTACTCAGCCTTGAATCTCCACTCACAGCAGAGGGCTGGATCACCTGCAGGAGACAAGACAATAGGTAAGGAAAACCCACCTACACACTTCTTTGCCTGCCTTCCTCCCTCCGTCCAACCCCCCCCCCCCATGATTCACCATTCAGTACTTATCCCACAAGAGTTTTGGGATTCCATAATTCCTGCATTGCAGGGGTTCGGAGGGCCCCGGCCCAGGTCCCTTGCAACTCTCTGATTCCATGCATTCAGATGCAGAGCACAGGATTTGTAGCACGTGGCTGGGACAGTCCAATCATATTAATAATAATACAGTGGTACTTTGGGTTAAGAACTTAATTCATTCCAGAGGTCCGTTCTTAACCTGAAACTGTTCTTAACCTGAGGTACCACTTTAGCTAATGGGGCCTCCTGCTGCTGCCACTGCGCGATTTCTGTTCTCATCCTGAAGCAAAGTTCTTAACCCGAGGTACTATTTCTGGGTTAGCAGAGTCTGTAACCTGAAGCATCTGTAACCCGAGGTACCACTGTAACAATAATAATAATGTGCAATCCCTGGCTTATTATTATTAGAGAACAACAACTACCAGACTTTTAGAAGACATCTGAAGGCAGCCCTGTTTAGGGAAGCTTTTAATGTTTGATGCATTACTGTATTTTAATATTCCGTTGGAAGCCACCCAGAGTGGCTGGGGAAGCCCAGCCAGATGGGCAGGGTAGAAATAAATTATTATTATTATTATTATTATTATTATTATTATTATTATTATTATTATTATTATTCAGTGGAAGCATCTGAGATAGCAGGGCCTCTAGAGCAGGGGCAGCCAACGGGAAGCCCTCCAGGTATTTTTTTAAGCTGCCACTACTGCAGAACGCAGGGGCCAAACGGCTTGCAGGAGCAGATTACTGTCGACATGTTACTCTGCTACTAGGAGAGCTGTACTGGTTGCAAATTTGCTAGTGGGCCAGGTTCAAGGTGAATCCACAAATTCACAAACAACCCGGGCCCCAAAGTGCCTTCAGGACTGTCCAATTCCTTATGCTCCACCTACGCCAGGGGTGGGCAACCTAAGGCCTGGGGGCCATATGCGGCCCAATCGCCTTCTCAATCCGGCCTGCGGACGGTCCAGGAATCAGTATGTTTTCACATGAGCAGAATGTGTCCTTTTGTTTAAAACCCATCTCTGGGTTATTTGTGGGGCATAGGATTCCGTTCATTTTTATTTTTATTTTTCAAAGTAATAGTCTGGCCCGCCACTTGGTCTGAGGGACGGTGGACCGGCCCCCTGCTGAAAAAGGTTGCTGACCCCTGACCTACACCACCGAGATCCTCTGATGGGGTGTGATGGCCTGGGAGTCTGATTCAGAGGCTGAACCGGAGGAATCCCAGCCTGCACAGGAGTCCCCGCCTCCAGGACCAGCTGAGCCAGGGCTGGGGCTTGAATCTGAAGGGCCCTCACCTGTGCCGGACCCTCAGGAGCAGACACCAGATGAATCCACTCTGGCTCCGGAGGTGATGGAGGACCCATTGCCTGCAGGTGCTCCTCTCCCAGCCCTGTCAGGGGAAGGTGAGGTTGCCTCTGGGTCCAGTAACCTTCCAGCCTCTCCTGAGCTGCAGAGACTCAGGGCAGAGAGGCGGAGGGAACTAAGTTCCCGCAGGAGGAGTGCTTGCCTCCAGGCCGGGGGAGGCGAGTCACCTGTGGGCCGGGACCGCCCTAGGCCTCAGAGGAGATAAAGGTCAGTCAGCCCAGCCCCAGGTTGCGGGAGCAACATCGTTGGTTACCTGTTCCGGCCGGCACCCTGACCTGCTTTCTGCCAGAGTTCCTGACCTCACCCAACTCCCTACCTTGGACCCCGCTTCAGCCTCAGACCACGCCGCACAGTAACCCCCGGGACCAGCACATGGGGTACTTCTGGTGGCTCCCTACGCCCCTGAGGTCTGCTTGGCCTTCCCTAGGGGATCAGGTGCCCAGTGACGGGGACAGGTTGTTGACAGGTGAGCTGTTGCCGGTCAGAGCAGGCTAGGTGCTCAAAGGGGGCGATGGGCTCCTCGTTTCCCAATTTCCCCGGCCTTTCCCTTTTTGTTCCCCGTGACTGGCTGCAACGCCGCCGCAAGCTCCCCACCCCCAGAAGCGTGGACCAGCTTACCTGCTCTGGCGCCACCTCGTAGGCAGCTGTGTCAGTCAAACCCTCACCATGAATGGGAGTTTTAGACGCGTCGCTTGGAGCAGCCGAACGCCAGGGAGGCGAGTTAGGTGGGATCACGTTGGTGGAGGAGGAACTGTCGAAGTCGGAAGGCGGAGGTCGACTCTGCCGTAAAGGTGTAGTGCTGGGCGTGGAGTGAGTCTGTCCTCTGTTTGAAGGGCTATTGAGGAACTGGGAGCTGCCAGAGGGAGGGCTGTCAAGAAAATCGGCATTTGAGGGGAGGGCAGCAGCAGCCTTCACAGGAATGTGGGGACCTGCATGAAAACAACGCATGCAATTATTCATCAGCACATGGGATGGTGCCCATCAGGGTGGATAAAAACCAATGATTTTTTTAAAATAAAAAATCAGATTATTTCGGTTTAAATTGGATTTTTAAAATAAAATGCTTTGGGAGGAAAAATCTTTCTATAGATAGTTTTCTATTTAATTTACATTATAGTCCAAAGGCTATTCATCAGGAAATAAGTATTTGTTTTAAGTTTTTTATGTGTGCTAAAACTCAGTCTGTTTAAAACAAAAAAACCACCACCGTTTAACCAAGTCAGTTAACAAACATGGATACATATGCTATAATGCTATTGTTTTAGTTAAATAAATTGTTTAAATTGTTATTAAGGAAATGATTATCTTCTTCCTTCCAATAAAGTACAGCAGAAAAGTTGTCCAAATATAAACAGTTAACTTATGATCCTCACTATAATTTCATAATTATCAGTCTATGTATTTCTAATAGTATAACCAAATCAGTAACTTTTGATTTAACTGTAAAACTACTCTGAAAATTTATTATTCCAAAAATGAAACCTTCATCTGGTTGTAAATATTAAGATTATACCAGCAAGAATGAGTCTTTCTGTAAAAAAAAATGATGTAAATCAAATTTCACTGTCTAGTAATTTAAACCAAGTCTTACTGACTAGTGATTTAAATCAATTTTACTGAAATCAAATCCACCATGGTGCACATGCTATGTTTTATATGCGCAGGAAGAGCAAGTAGCCATATGGCTTTAGACACAGAATTTGGCTCCCGGGCACCTGTGCTTTCATTGAGAAGCATGCACCAAACCTCCTGTCAAGTTTATAGTCCTCATGGTTGGGAAAACAGGACTGAGAGTGCGCCTGAAATCCTAGAATCGAGGCTGAACAAGGTGGTTTCGAACAGTCAAGACAGCAGAGCTTAAGGACTTTAAAACACTGGTTCCCCCCCCCCCCGAACCCACCCAACAACTAGGGGAAAGAACAGAAAACCATGCAAAAAAGGAGGCTGTGGAAACTGTCCTTAATTAGTGGGACGCGGGTGGCGCTGTGGTCTAAATCCACCCCCATTGTCTAGCTCCGACACTAAGGTCCAGCGCCAAGGGCTTCTGGCTGTTCCCTCACTGCGAGAAGTGAAGCTACAGGGAACCAGGCAGAGGGCCTTCTCAGTAGTGGCACCCGCCCTGTGGAACGCCCTCCCACCAGATGTCAAAGAAATAAACAACTATCTGACATTTAGAAAACATCTGAAGACAGCCCTGTTTAGGGAAGTTTCTAATGACTGATGTTTTAATGTATTTTTAATATTTGGTTGGAAGCTGCCCACAGTGGCTGGGGAAACCCAGCCAGATGGGCAGGGTATAAATTTATTTATTTAATTTTATTATTATTATTATTATTATTATTATTATTATTATTATTGCCGCATGGGACTCAAACCTGTTGAATGGCTTCTTTAAATTTTAGGTTTCATTATTGTTTCACAAGATGTGTATGTCTTTACGGGCCAGAGCAAATAACATGACCTAGTTTTACAGCTGTGGAGCAGTATAGCAGGTGCTGTTAAGTTATGTTAATTAAGCACGTGGGTATAGTATATAAAGAGCAGCATGTAGCTCTCTCAGTACCCTGGCGGACAGGTCACGCTTATTGATGTATTGTAATTTAGTGTAAAAGGAGTTTTTGCTTTTGTTACTGAAATCTAGCAAAAGTTATTTTGCGTTCCTTGAATGTGTGGTCTCTCCAGCACGCTTTCTGCAGCGCAACTGATCTGCAAAATAACCAACAAAACCGGGCCACGTCCTTACCTCTTCCCGGGCCATTTCCAGGCAGGCAGTCTGTTGGGCTCGCTCCAAACCCCACTGGGGCAGAGGGGGTACGTCCATCTCCTTTCTCCTGGCGCCCCAGGCCTACTCCCTGCTCTGCGTCGAACTGCCTTTGCAGGAGGAGAGGGCTGCCTACGTCCTCTGGACCGTCCAGCACATCCTCGTTGTGATAGCCGCGCAAGGCCTGGATCTTCTGCTCCCTCAGGGATGCCTTGTCTTGGCCGCTCGAAGCCAGCGGGGAGCTGCTGTCGGGAGAGGAGTAGTAATCTTCCACTGGCTGGTTCCCAGGCGTTCCGGGATCAGGAGGGGCAGCCAGCCCCGGCAAAACGGCACTGTCGATGGGGTGGTTCCTGTTCCCAAAATAGCCGTTCTTCACGCAAACAGGGCGGGGCTGGCGGCCGTCCCACTTCTGCACCGAAGGACCCGCGTCGGGTCTTGAGGATGTTGGTGTGTTGCTTGGCAAAACTCTCCCAGGCGCCTCTCCAAGGCAGGCCTCCACTCGGAATGGCCTGGGCATCCTTAGCAGGAGCAGCTACAACATTGCCTCTGGTCTGAAAAGAACAAATCACAGAATCATGGAATTGTACAGTTAGAAGGGAACCCCAAAGGTCTTCTAGCCCGGCCCCTCGCAATGGGAGGGATCGGTTGGGATACTGCCGGGGAGATGGGGGCATTTGGCAGGCCCCCAGCTTGCTCCAGCCACCGGCCGGCAGCCGGATGATCTCCAGTACAGCATCAATCAATCAGCGACTTGAGCCTCAGTAGCCTTCTGAAGCTACCGAGCACGTGGATAAATCTCCACAACGGAAGTGGCGGACAGAGATGTGTGTAAGCGTATTTACAAGCGTTTATATGGCATAGTTCAGGAACAAAGAATAAAACATGTCTCCTTCCCTTAGTGTCCAGCAAAACAGCAGTAACACAAAAGCTACCATATTTTTCGCTCTATTAGACGCACCGGACGATTGGACGCACCTAGTTTTTAGGGGAGGAAAACAAGAAATAAGAAAGGAACGCAAAGCATCCTGAGCGAAGAGGGAGCGCTCCTCCATCTTCGCTCACGAGGCTTTGAGGGGCAACCCCTGAAGCCAGGAGAGCAAGTGGGATCGGTGCGCACCGATCCCTCCTGGCTTCAGCGAAAGCAAGCCTACTGGCTTTCCTCCGGCAAGAGCCGCGCACTCTTTAAAGGGAGCGCGGCTCCTGGGGGCTTTTCTGGGAGGTGGGGGAAGGGACAGAGCCACGCGCGTGGGAAGCCCCCACCTCCCGCAAAAGCCAGGGATAGCTGCATGACGTCTCCGCAGGACAGCGCGATGAAGGCTCCCTGCTCCCCTGTGGAGACTTCATCCCGTACAGCTTCCGAGTCATGTGGCCAGCATGAGTAAGGCGCTTCTGGTGAACCAGAGCAGCGCACAGAAATGCCGTTTACCTTCCCGCCGGAGTGGGTTAAACCACAGAGCCCAGGACTTGCCGATCAGAAGGTCAGCGGTTCGAACCCCTGCAACAGGGTGAGCTCCCGTTGCTCGGTCCCAGCTCCTGCCAACCTAGCAGTTCGAAAGCACGTCAAAGTGCAAGTAGATAAATAGGTACTACTCTGGCAGGAAGGTAAACGGCGTTTCCATGCGCCGCTCTGGTTCGCCAGAAGCGACTTAGTCATGCTGGCCACATAACCCGGAAGCTGTACGCCGGCTCCCTCGGCCAATAAAGCAAGATGAGCGCCACAACCCCAGAGTTGGTCATGACTGGACCTAATGGTCAGGGGTCCCTTTACCTTTACCTTTAAAGGACAGTTGTAAAAACTTAAAAACACTAGCTGGGCTGAAGTAACTCCTACAGTGTAGATAAGATGTGAGAAGATAAAATACGCACGTGGGTTTAATAAAGGATACCATCTGAAGTCACAAGCTTGGCAGAGCAAAAAGATGTACCGTATTTTTCGCTCTATAAGACGCACTTTTCCTTCCTAAAAGGAAGGGGAAATGTGTGTGCGTCTTATGGAGCGAATGCAGACTGCGCAGCTATCCCAGAAGCCAGAACAGCAAGAGGGATTGCTATGCAGTGATCCCTCTTGCTGTTCTGGCTTCTGAGATTCAGAATATTTTTCTTCCTTGTTTTCCTCCTCCAGAAACTAGGTGCGTCTTATGGTCTGGTGCGTCTTATAGAGCAAAAAATATGGTGTATGTTGTTTAAAGTATGATAAGAAAGAATATGTAAAGAAAATAATAAAAATTTATGGGGTGGGGAAGACAGTGGTGGTAGACTCTCCTTCCTTGGAGGTTTTTGAGCAGAGGTTGGATGGCCATTTTCCAGGGATGCTATAGTTGAGATTCCTGCACCTTTGGGTCCCTTCCAACTCTAGGATTCTATGCTATGAAAGGCAAGGGAAGAGAAAGCAATCTTAGGCTTTACCTCAGGGCTCCGAGGGAGACGTTCAGTTTCTTGAACAGGAGTGCTGTAATCAGGCATGTCTTCAGAGGCTGCATTAGTGGCGAAGTGGGATGGGTCTGAGACGCCTGTGGGCAACGGGGGCTGGACTGGCAGGGGCACGTCAGAAGAGGGTGGGCTGGGCTTCACGGCTGGCACCTGGGAGCTATTCACCACAGCTGGTGAGGCAGCAACTGCCGGCACATTCCTTCGAGGGGCTGGAGGAGGAAGACACACCAGCAGCACAGAGGTTAATTTCTTTTTCCTTTATTTCCAAATAGCGATTACTGAATTTTAATAGCAAACAGGATTTAAAAATAAAATAGAAAAGAAAGAAAGAAAGAAAGAAGAGAAAAGTTGTCACAGTTGCCAGTAAGGAATTACAGTGAAGAAGAAGGAGGAGGAGGAGGAGGAGGAGGAGGAGGAGGAGGAGAGTTTGGATTTGATATCCCGCCTTTCATTCCCCTTCAGGAGTCTCAAAGCGGCTAACAATCTCCTTTCCCTTCCTCCCCCACAATAAACACTCTGTGAGGTGAGTGGGGCTGAGAGACTTCAAAGAAGTGTGACTAGCCCAAGGTCACCCAGCAGCTGCATGTGGAGAGCGGAGACGCGAACCTGGTTCACCAGATTACGAGACTACCGCTCTTAACCACTACACCACACTGGCTCTCAGTGGTACCTCAGGTTAAGAACTTAATTCGTTCCGGAGGTCCATTCTTAACCTGAGGTACCACTTTAGCTAATGGGGCCTCCCGCTGCCGCCACACGATTTCTGTTCTCATCCTGAAGCAAAGTTCTTAACCCGAGGTACTATTTCTGGGTTAGCGGAGTCTGTATCCTGAAGCGTCTGTAACCTGAAGCGTCTGTAACCCGAAGTACCACTGTATAGGGTACAGCTATGTGATTTACAGAGTCAATAATAAAACAATCCAAGAGGAAAAGGATATGTGGTCTATTATTACACGGGGTTCTATGGTCTAGACTCTAAATCAAAACAACTGCAATTTTTTTGCCCCCGAAAAAGAAGACCACCAATTTACACATTCATTCATTTGGATTATATACTGCCCTTTTGCAAAGCTGACGATCTCCATTATTGCTCTTAAGAAGCAAAATAATAATAATAATAATTAATAAATTAAATGCAAAAGGCGGAAGGGCAACTTACGGAGCCGCCAACGGTCGTAAACTTCTCTGATTTCATTTGCCAGCTCGCTTTGGTTCTGGTCCTCGAGAGCGTTGATGAAGAGCGTCACCCAGCCCCTCCTCATCCGGAGGTGCTGAAACAGCTCCCACACAGTCAGGTCGTTCCCTCGCATTAAGCATTCACTTTTAATTTCTTGCTGCGGAAATGGGGGACATGAAAATGCAAAGCTCAGGAACAAGGGGGTGGGGGGAGAAAGAGAGACAGAACAGCATCACCGAAGCCCTGGGAAGGTTTAAAATTGGGATTCCCATGGCATATTCCGAACATGCCAGCAGGTCCCCAGCTTGGTCTGCAGCCAGCATCTCCTGACCAGAGCTCTCAACCTGGAGTTGGATGGATGCATGTGAGAAGGGCCGTTCTGGATCCGGCCAAAGGCCCATACAGCCCAGTATCCTGTTCTCACAGTGGCCAGCCGGATAAAAGCCCAAACGTCAGACCCGAGGGTGACAGCAACCGGTATCCAGGAGACAGATTGCTTCTGACACAGTCGCTATTGCTAGCTTCCTCCTCCATGAATCTGTCGAAGCCTCTTTGAAAGCCGTCCAAGTTGTGGCCGTCGCTACGTCTCAGAAAGCCGCAGGAATGGTTTAGACATGCCTGTCCCACGGTTAAGAAAAACCCTCCCACAATTAACTGTCAAAGAGCTACGGTAATCATGAGAACCACGGGTTTGCAACGTAATTTGGGTGCCTGCATAAGCACAGACACACCTGCTACCTTGCAATACCCAGAGCAACTTTGCAACTGCTTCAAAACAAGTCTGTGCTGCTGAAGGGGGAGCGTGAGCTGAACAGAATGAAAAGGTAATGTATCAATACATCACGCGGGACTGGTTTGAGGGCTAGAGCACAATGGCGCCTTCACCCAGTGGCATATTGCAAGTGGAGGGTGAAACTTCCACCACTCATGAGTTTCTCTGCCACCAGTGCCCAGCTGTGGAGACAGAGCGTTGCCGTCATGGGTTGCAAGTCCAGGTATGTATTTTAGGGCACTGTTTTGTGAAGTATTCTCTCTACATTTCCCCCATGCTTTTTGAAACTCTTGTCTAGTGTGTTCTCTAATTGCCTCTGTTAATCTAGCCAGTTCAATATACTCTAACAGTTTATCTTGCCATTTCTTTTTTGTTGGCAGTTCCTTTTTTCCAGTTTTTAGCAATTAGGATCCTTGCCGCTCCTGTGGCATAGAGGAATATTTTCTGATCTTCTCTTGCTATACCTGTGTCCGTTATCCCTAGTAGAAAAGCTTCTGTATTTTTCATAAAGTTATACTTAAAACGTTTTTTTAAGCTCGTCATACACTGTGTTCCACTCCCCGACAGTGAACACAGACGGGGAAGACTTCCTGTCATACCTGCTCTGGAGCATCCTTCCCCTGTGTAGATGGGCGTGACCCTAGCAGACCCTATAAAGGTGCCAGTCATGCAACCATCTCCCTCTCTTGCTCTTTTGGCCCTTTGGCCCTTGCACCTGCTCTTTTGCCATCTTCCTTCTGCTGGTTCTTAGCCTTACATGGCTCATCCTTACAGAGGATGGAAGCCACAAGGTGGAAAGTCTGAGGCCTAGCTCAGACTTCTTTTCTCTACACAAGTACCTGCAACTACAAGATAAAGGCTGCCTTCAGGACAATACTGTGAACTGAATGTAAGTAAACTTCACCATTCCTTTTAAAAGAAGACTGTCGTGTCATTATTATTTTTAAGAGGGAACTATCCAATCTGGACAAACCAGACTGGATTGCTCAACTCAAATGATTCTAACGAATCAATCAATCAATCAATCAACTTGTTTCCAGCAATGTGCAAAGGGAATGTGCTCTGCTACTAGCTCACAAGCATAAGTGAGGAAGGATATAGCTCGGCTTCTAATACCATCCTTCCAGACATTCTTATCAAAAAGCTGATGGAACTAGACCTTTCTTCTACCATGTGTGATTGGATTAAAGACTTTCTGAGGGATCAGACACAAACAGTGAGGATTGGGCCTGTTACATCTACCTCCCTGAAGCTCAGCACTGGCACCCCACAGGGATGTGAGATGAGTCCCTACCTGTACTCGTTGTATACATATTTTGTATTTCATCTGATCCATCTACTGCAATTATTAAGTTTGCAGATGATACTACCATAATGGTATAATCACAAGTGGAGATGAATCAGCGTACAGAGGGGAGGTTCAAAAAGTATCTACATGGTGCCTAGAGAATAACTTGCACCTAAATATTAGCAGGGACGCAGGTGGCACTGTGGGTAAAACCTAAGTGCCTAGGACTTGCTGATCGTAAGGGCGGCGGTTCGAATCCCCGCGGCGTGGTGAGCTCCCGTCGTTCGGTCCCAGCTCCTGCCCACCTAGCAGTTCGAAAGCACCCCTAAGTGCAAGTAGATAAATAGGTACCGCTTATAGCGGGAAGGTAAACGGCATTTCTGTGTGCGGCGCTGGTGCTGGCTCACCAACTGCAGCTTCGTCACGCTGGCCACGTGACCCGGAAGTGTCTTCAGACGGCGCCGGCACCCGGCCTCTTGAGCGAGATGAGCGCGCAACCCTAGAGTCGGACACGACTGGCCCGTACGGACAGGGGTATCTTTACCTTTAAATATTACCAAGACAAATGAGATGGTGTTGGACTTGCAGAGGAAGAGAGGGGAACTAGCCCCATTGTATATTGGGGGGGGGGTTGTTTGGAGAGAGTCTCTTCCTTTAAATTCCTGGGAGTTTACCTTAGTTAAGACCTCACTTGGAAAAACAATATAACTCAGGTGGTTAGGAAGGCCCAACATAGACTCCATTTCCTCAGGGTCTTGCGAAAGAACAATGTTAAACAACAATTGATGACCTCCTTCTACCAGTCCACAATAGAAAGTGTCCTCTCATATTGTATCACAGTGTGGTACGTTGGCTTGACAGCCACGGACAGAAAGTCTCTACAGAGGGTGGTGAACAAGCACATGATATCATGGGCTGTCCCCTGAGCCCGCTAGATGACATTGCAAGGAATTGATGCCTTAGGAGAGCGAGAAAAATTCTCAGGGATGATTCACACCCCAGCCAGCACCTCTTTAATCTTCTACCCTCGGGCAGGGAATATAGAAGTATAATCAGTCATACCAACAGGCTAAAACCAGTTTCTGAACAGAAAATAATATAGTGCAACTGACTTTCAGGGTTGGTGTGCTGTGCGACAAGCACACAGAGTGCAATGAGATTGAGTGTTTGTGAGGAGGGGAGGCTCGGTTCATTTCATTGTACTGTACAGTGGTACCTTGGGTTAAGTACTTAATTCGTTCCAGAGGTCCGTTCTTAACCTGAAGCACCACTTTAGCTAATGGGGCCTCCTGCTTCCACTGTGCCGCCGGAGCACGATTTCTGTTCTCATCCTGAAGCAAAGTTCTTAACCCGAGGTACTATTTCTGGGTTAGCGGAGTCTGTAACCTGAAGTGTATGTAAACCTGAAGTGTCTGTAACCCAAGGTACCACTGTACATTGACAATAAAGGTATTATTATTATATATTTCATCAACATATCCTCTCCTGTTATCCACAACATTCCCACAGCCCAAAGACACTACCCTGGACATACTCTCAAGGGGCAGCTCCCCAATCCAAACACTGGCACCAACAAGAGCAGGGAAATCAGGGGGGCAGTTACCTTGTCTATTTCAGTGAGGCAGCTGAGATAGTCGAGCATCTGAAGGACACGGATGCATCGGAAGTTGCACTGGTGGGCCCTGATGTATTCCTCCACTTTATCCTCAGCAAACCCCATGTTCAGTTAGCACCTAGAACCAGGAGAATCACAGACAGAACTGTAGAGTTGGGAAAGGCCACAATACGATATGATAATGATACGATAATCTTTATTGTCATTGTCCCATACAGAACAACGAAATTGAAAAAAGTCTACATCAGACATTCAAAAACCAACATGCCTGCTATCCCAGCCTGGTTAACCCCCTAAAAACTCTGATACCCTATAAGTAAATACAATATACTCCCATAGAGACTACCTTAAAAGGTAAAGGGACCCCTAACCATTAGATCCAGTCGTGACCGACTCTGGGGTTGCGGTGCTCATCTCGCTTTATTGGCTGAGGGAGCCGGCGTACAGCTTCCGGGTCATGTGGCCAGCATGATTAAGCCGCTTCTGGCAAACCAGAGCAGCGCACGGAAACGCCGTTTACCTTCCCGCCAGAGCGGTACCTATTTATCTACTTGCACTTTGACGTGCTTTGGAACTGCTTAGAGATACTGCTTTGAGACTACTTTACACTGCGTTTAAAACCAAAATCGCATCTGGATATAAACTGTTTCTCAGGCAGCTAGTCCTAGTCTTTATAACCCTGTACCTTCTTCCAGAAGGCAGAAGCTGAAAGAGATCATTTCCGGGGTGTCATCTAGTCCAACCCCCCACTTTGTCCAATGTGGGACTCAAATCCAGAACTCTGGGATTTAGAGTCTCGTGCTCCAGCAACTGAGCTATCTTTGAAAGAAACTGCTCATATCTAACAAAGGGGCTCCGGATTGCAGTGGGAGATGGGCAGGGCTGTCCAAAAGGGAGTGTTAGAAACTCAGATATATAAGCTAGGCGCCAAATGGCTCCTTAAACCAAGGTTGCAGTCGCCAAAACGGAATGTCTAGTCACCATTTTTGGACAAGACAGATCTCAAGTCTTCTTTTTAAAAATAATGGACCGATTGTGATTTGCTTCTCAGTTAAACATCTGGCTGGTTCAAATGACAACTAAGTTAAGAACTTTGATCTTCACTCCTGGGGTGTGGGAAAATGATTGCTTGTACATAAGAGCATGAGCAGAGTTCTTATTATTGCAGAGTGATTTTGCAGCACGAGATATTGCTAAGAGCATGATGAGCACGTGAATACCTCATGCTAGACTAATGATTGGCTCACGTAGCATAACACTCTCTTTGTCTGTGGGCAAAAGCAAGGTTACATTCCTTTGATTTGTTACTTTTGAGTACCAGGCAGAGCAAGCACAGTGCTGGAGGAGGGAGGATGATTTATTTTTTACTGCACACAATAAACATTGCACGGCTGAAGCCAAAGCTTTTTCTTCAAGTCATCTTGGTGTGAGACTGATTTCTTACTGATCTTCCTACTGATGTCGAGCTGGATTCTCGACATTTGGTGCCCCGTGTGCCTACCTTCGGACTCCACGTTGTTTCTCATCGTTCAGCGCTCACCACACGTCTTTCATCCGCTATGGATCCCGGTGAGTGCTCCCTTGGTACCCCGTGTGTTTGATTCTGGACTTCGCGACGTTGCGGACTTATCAGCGCTCACCACGCCCGGCAAGGGTTCCAGACGCGTCTTTCATCCACCTAGTGGATCCCTGGTGAGTGCTCCCAACCCCAACCCCCTTATTTTTGCCATTATGGGGCAGTCTCTCTCTCCACCACAGAAAAAGTTTTTTGAAGACCTTAAATTTCTCTTGGCCAGCAACAGCCTCATTGTCTCAGATGCTGATATCGTGTCTCTTATAGAAGCATTGGATATTCACTGTCCCTGGTTTCCTCAGAATGGGAATTATCATTTAAAAGACTGGGAAAAAATAGGACAATTTTTCCAAAACCATCCTCAGATTGATGTCAAAGTTTTGCATGCCTGCTGTAAGGTTTATAAGGCTATCTCAAGCCTAACTCCTACAAATCTCCTCCTGGCCGCTGCTTCAGCTCCTTTGCCCCCCCTCCCAATCCTCATGCTGCCTTCAGAAGCACCGTTTTATCAGCCTCCTAAACAGGCAGACATTTTTCCTCCTTCGGCTTCTGTCGTCCCTCCTCCGCATTCTTCGCTTCCTGCGCCTCCTGTTACTACTCCTCTCCAAGAATCTTCGCATTCAGCACCCCCCGCTCTTCCACCTCCTCCGCCCAAGGCACCTGGCACCGCTTCTACCATTCCTCTCCAAGAAGAGACTCTTTGTACCACTGCTCCGTTGCTGCCTTTTGATTCTGATACTCCAAATCTCTTTCCTGTGATTGCTCCTGCACCCCCAGCCCCCGTCATGCTGACCCAAACCGATGTTCTCGATGGGCTGACGGGAGGAGGCAATTTTCTTCCTATTGCCCAACAGTTGGCCTTTGATCCTATGTATTGGGCAGCCACTACAGCCGCTGCCCAAGAGACTCTGGCCTCTGTCCCTGATGACAAGACTGAGTGCAATGGCCGATGGGGCAGCATCAGACAGGGTCCTGCAAAGCCCTATGGACAATTTGTTGATCGCTTGTATAATACCTTCAAGTGGCAAGTTCAGGACCTGGCAGCACAAGAACTGATTGTACGCCAGCTTGCATCTGATCATACACATGAGGACTGTAAGCAAGTGCTGCGCCCTTTGATGGCAACATCAAATATAGCCATTGCAGATATGCTTAAAGCCTGCCAGTCAGTGGGCACTGAGATGCATAAAGCTCGCTTGCTAGCCACGGCTCTGTCCTCCGCCGTGTCCCAAAATCCTGCAAAGGATAAAACCTGTTGGATTGACAGTGGCTAAGGAAAAAATCCAGCGGACCTTACCTATTGCGTGCCTGGGACACAAGCTGACAGCATCTGCTGCCATTTCAGTTACGCCTCAACTACAGTTTCCTGATCATCTTAAACTGGTGGATTTACAACAAATTCTTGGACAGCTGAATTGGATAAAGAGTTATTTGGACCTGCCCACCTCCACTTTGTCTCCACTATTTTCTGCCCTTAAAGGACATAAGGATGCAGCAGACAAGATCACAGTCACCTCTGCAATGAAAGAGGCTCTAACCACTGTGAACAACCATCTCCGCAGATGTATGGTGGACAGGATTCCTTCTCTTTCCATGGCACAATTATCACTTGCGGTATTTGCCACCCCGCTCCTTCCAACAGCTATATTGTACACCACAGGCCAGAAGCCTGGGACTGTGTCTATTGTGGAGTGACTTCACCTGCCTCATACTCCTCTGTGGAATGTGTATGCTACACCCAACAGCGTCATGGACCTTGTTGCTAAGGGCCGACATCGAGCCCTTACCTTCTCTGGAATGGACTTACAGTCAGTGTACCTGCCCTTCTCCCAGGAAGAATTTAAGCATCTGATGATGACAGTCGTTTCTACTCAAATAGCTTTTGCTGATTTCTTGGGAAATATCATTCACAATCCTCCTAGAGACCCTCGTTTGTCTTTCCTTACAGGGCTACGTTATGTCTTGCGAACTGCTTTGTCCCTCCTACCCTTACCCTCTGCCCTTACTGTGTTCACTGATGGTACCAAATCCAGAGGGGTGGTGGTGTGGGAAGAGGAGGGGGAATGGAAAAGTTTGTATACTACTGAGCAGTCCTCAGCACAACGTGCTGAATTGGCAGCTGTAATTTTGGCATTTCAACAGTTTGCTAATATCCCTTTCAATCTCATTGTGGATTCTCATTATGTATATAATCTTTTGAATGTCTTACCATTGTCTTATATCACTCCTGCTATTGATAAAAATTTGTTTACATTATTTTCCACTTTGCAGAACTTGGTACAAGCTAGAACTTGTCAGTTTTATGTAGCCTATCTCAGATCTCACACTGGCTACCCTGGGTATTTGGCAGAAGCTAATGCCCAGGCAGACCATGCTTTGAAGAATGGTATTTTTTCATTGTTTTCAGACCCATTTGAAAGTCATTCTGTATTTCATCAAAATGCTAAAGTTCTGGCAAAATCTTTTTCGTTGCCCATTTCTCAAGCTCGAGACATTGGGCTTTTTCTGGATTGTGGGTTTTACATGCCAATAATCGAGCCATGAAATATCACACAGGTTGCTCGGAAGTGGCCATTGGAATAATTTACCATTCTCATCCTTATTGGCATCACTTGGATTTTACCCCCCAGATATTTTTGTTTCTCCTCCCTCAGGAGTCCTGCCCTATGATGTGTTCCTCTGAGCATGTACAGAGGGCTGTCTTGGAACTATTGTGGACTCTTGGCAAGGGAGGGGGTGAGGGGATTTCAGTGTGTTCCAGTTGTTTCATTTTTGTGCTTTGGCATGGTTCCCGGACAGAAAGAAAGTTGCAATATGGTTTTTTAGCAAGGCCCGCGAAGACAATGGGCTCTGTTCTCGACCTTGTTGCAATCTTTTTAGTTACAGCAAGTGGATATGCTTGAAAAAAATATATGCTTGGCTAGTGCCTTTTTAGCTGCTGAGAAAAATGATTTTAAAAGCTTCTCAAAGCTTTGAGCCTTTTTTGGTGGTGGTATTCTAGTATTCCAGTAAATGCTTCATTTAAGATTAGCAATAATATGAAGGACAATCGTATATGTTTATCGCCTGTGTTTTGTTGCTTGCAGAAATAGTGTCTTATTGTTTTCGTTTTAATCATACTAGCAGTATATTTTTAGGTCATTATCCATATTGTAATTGGACCTATGAGTATTTTGATGGATCTTCTTGTTTTTTTTAATATTACCACTATGAGTGATAGACCAAAAGTCTCAGTTAATAATGTCACAACCTACATGACTTATGACCAACAGGCTGCGTGTAGAGATTTTTATGTTTGGTTGGACTGGAAGAGAAAGAGCAGTAAATCTACATGTTTGCTTCAATCTGATTTATGGTTATTCTGTGGCAAATTGGACCGAAGCTTTGTTTTTAATTCTATCATCTTTGTTTTAAAAACAACAAAAAACAAGACAAAAAAAAAAAGTCAGAAATGAGAGAAGTTGCTTTATAAACTTTTTATGCTTTAAATGTAATCCTTGCCTCTAAAGTTGGAATTTATGCCTTAATTCATTCTCATTGTTGTATGTATATAACTGATCAATCAACCAATATCTCTGCTATTATTGATTATATGGAACAAATGATAACCCATAATCCTTTGAATCCGCCTGAAGGTTTTGATCCATGGGACTGGTTATTTTCTTGGTTACCTAATGGATTATGGTTAAGAAATTTATTATTGATTGTAATTGCATGTATTGTTGGTTTTATTATGTATTCAATGCTTGCTTTTTTTTTGTTTCCCAATGTACTGCATGGTGGTATCAACCAAGGCCCACCACAGGGATTACAAGGGGAATTTATGTTGCAAAATATAAATGCTTAGGTAATGGGATTGCAATTCTGATTAATGGTCCCTCTTATAATATAAACAAGAAAAGAGGGCATGTGGGAAAATGATTGCTTGTACATAAGAGCATGAGCAGAGTTCTTATTATTGCAGAGTGATTTTGCAGCACGAGATATTGCTAAGAGCATGATGAGCACGTGAATACCTCATGCTAGACTAATGATTGGCTCACGTAGCATAACACTCTCTTTGTCTGTGGGCAAAAGCAAGGTTACATTCCTTTGATTTGTTACTTTTGAGTACCAGGCAGAGCAAGCACAGTGCTGGAGGAGGGAGGATGATTTATTTTTTACTGCACACAATAAACATTGCACGGCTGAAGCCAAAGCTTTTTCTTCAAGTCATCTTGGTGTGAGACTGATTTCTTACTGATCTTCCTACTGATGTCGAGCTGGATTCTCGACACTGGGGCAAGTTCTGGGACCTCTGGAACTTCTCACCACTCGGAGACTGGGTGGAGCAGGGGCACGTAACAGTTTATTTGCAATGCTAGAAAAGAAACCATCCGGAAAGCTTCACAAATTCTGCCCTCACCTCCAGGAAGTGGAAGAAAAGAGAAATGCAATTCCCAGCAGCTTGGGGGGTTGTTTGTTTTTTAAAGAACAGTTAGTTAGACCCAAAATAAGTACAGTTCAAGCAGACAGAGAAAATCGAGGTTTTTCTTATGCACTGACTTCAATTTGAGACATCCAGATGGAACCTGTGCTTGCTGGCATTCTGGTTGAACGTCCCAGTTACGGTACTGGGAATAACTACTTCCTGGACGCGCAATCGGGAATCCCTTTCTGCCCATTTCTCTGCAAGCAATATATACACCTGCCGCATTGTGCAAGATAGGTAAAGGCACATCCCCGTTGCTACCTTCCCAGTGCAGCGCGAACTTATGAATGTCTACTCAGAAGTAAGTCTACCGCGTCCTACGGCACTTGCTCCCAGGTTCGGGTTGCATCCTGAGCCACGCTTTGAGTTGAATGCGGGTGGGTGAGGTGAGAGGTAGAGGTCAGCCAGGACCCTGGGAGGGGTTAATGACCCGCGGTCGCCCGAAGAGGCCTCTTATCTATTCCCACGCCCCCGTCTCGCTGGAAATCCCCGCTGGAAATTCCCAATGTCGAAAAACGCAAACAGCCTCCTTGCGTTACCCCCACTGCACTGCATATCCACAGCGGAAAGTGGCGATGCATGACGGGGCAGGAAACCCCCGCTCTCTTGTCTTAGGCCCTGCCCGGCAAAGTGAGCCCGGAAGAGGGGAAAGTGGGAGTTTCTATCTGGCGGGGCCAAAAAAATAAAAATAAATCCGAAAACTCTCCAAGTCGAGGAAAGAGTTGCATGCAGAGGGAGGCGGCTCGGCACGCCTCTTTTCTTACCTGGTCTCCACGCGCTTCCAGAGGAAGAATCCGGATTCAGAAGAAAGGAAGTGCAGGCGCTGGGAAGTAAGCAGCAGGCGACTCAGCAAGAACAGCTGCCTTAGGCCGGCCCTCGGCGGCGCGCGCAGATTCCCGGGGATGGTTCTAAGCCCGCCCCGCGCCTGCCTCCGATTGGTCGCTCGGCTTCCGCTCTGCGCTGCTTGTCAAATCCGTTTGGAATGTTGTTATTTAGTCGTTTAGTCGTGTCCGACTCTTCGTAACCCCCTGGACCAGAGCACGCCAGGCACTCCTGTCTTCCACTGCCTCCCGCAGTTTGGTCAAACTCATGCTGGTAGCTTCGAGAACACTGTCCAACCATCTCGTCCTCTGTCGTCCCCTTCTCCTTGTGCCCTCCATCTTTCCCAACATCAGGGTCTTTTCCAGGGAGTCTTCTCTTCTCATGAGGTGGCCAAAGTCTTGGAGCCTCAGCTTCAGGATCTGTCCTTCCAGTGAGCACTCAGGGCTGATTTCCTTCAGAATGGATCGGTTTGATCTTCTTGCATTCCACGGGACTCTCAAGAGTTTCCTCCAGCACCATAATTCAAAAGCATCCATTCTTTGGCGATCAGCCTTCTTTATGGTCCAGCTCTCACTTCCATACATCACTACTGGGATAACCAGAGCTTTAACTATATGGACCTTTGTTGGCAAGGTGGGTGTACACATTACACTTACACATACACTTCACGTTACATACGCTTCAGGTTACAGATTCCGCTAGCCCAGAAATAGTACCTCAGGTTAAGAACTTTGCTTCAGGATGAGAACAGAAATCGTGCTCTGGCAGCGCGGCGGCAGCGGGAGGCCCCATTAGCTAAAGTGGTGCTTTAGGTTAAGAACAGTTTCAGGTTAAGAACGGACCTCCGGAACGAATTACCGGTAAGTACTTAACCCGAGGTACCACTGTATAGGAATAAAGGATTTTATCCTAAACTTAACTCTCGAAGAAAGAGTCTCTAAGGCATCAGGTGAACTTCTGTCATTTCTTTGCCATTCCCAACCTCTTTGTCTCCTTATTTTGTAGTTAACATTTGGCAAGGTGGCTTTTGCTTGTTTCTCAAGCTCATCAAAATCTTCTCTTTAAAAAATCCGGAAGTGAACTGTACAAACTTGCACAAGAACTCAATAACAGGCCTGATTTCTGAAGGGCTTTGCTGACCCTGTGAAAATGACCTAGCACACAGATTTATATCTCTAAGATTCTGCAGACTTTGGCTGTGAACTATGTCCCCACAAAAAAATTTTAAATTGCGCCCTAGAGTTTCAAATTGGGACCCACTAGGATTAAAATGCCCTCGCATGAAGTCTTGGGTTTGCAATTTTGGGAGAGGAGAGACTGCCCCCTGGGGGGGGGGCAGATGGGCTGCAGAGGCCCCCTAGATTTAGAGGACCTACCTAGGCTTCAGCCTATACAGTCTATAAAGCCTATACCGAATACTTAGCCTATACAGTCATATCTCATGTTGCATTAGGTTCATGTTGCATCTATTCGACTTGCGAACGTGGCAAACCCGGAAGTGTATACTTCTGGGTTTTGCCGCACGCACAGAAGCATTCTGCGCACTTCGCGCATGCGCAGAAGTGCTCTATTGCGCTCTGTGCTTGCGCAGAAGCGCCGCTCTAGTTGCGGACTTTTTGGGGTGCAAGCGGCACCCCAAAATGGATCGTGTCCACAACTAGAGGTACCACTGTACACACTGGCAGAGGAAGAGGAGTGCGGGGTGAGCGCACTGCTCCTGGCAGTGCAATCCCGGTGGGGTGCCATCGCGGCTGCCCCCCTGCCCGTGCTGGGCACCACCCCGTCTGCTCTCCGCCCCCCGGTGCTGGAGCATCAAGCTCCACCACTGACAGTACATAAATCGGGCACTGCACGGGGGTCGAGCTGCAGCCTGCAAAGGAAGTTCCTCTGTGCGCAGTGTGGGCAGGTTTGCTCGTGGGAAAGGGTTTGCATGAGTCGTTTTCCGTCCATAGCAGGGCAGCTCGGTGGCTGCTTATACATCGCTCACTCCCTCCCCCACACAATGGGACAGCTATTTGCATGCGACGGACAGCTGCTAATTTATATGCAGTATAAACTTAGAAATCAGGACTAGAAATGCAATGCAATGTGTATCAGCATAGAAGGGAAGATTGTGACTGGGTGGCCCCTTTGTCTGATGCCCTAGAAATGGCTGTGTGTTGGCAGCATCAAAGCTCTACCTCCTTGTGATTTCCTTTCTCCAACAGAGGACTGTCCTCCTCAAAAGAGCAGGCGGCCACACTAGTGGATTTTGCTAACCTAGCTTTAAAAAAAATAAAAATCTTCCTCCTCCTCAATTTCTAAATCAGGCCAAGCTGGGTTGAATTATAAAAGTTGCTGGGAAATGATATATAATGAATTGAAAAGGATGTTCAAAATAATCTTTGTAAAAAAAACAACACCAGAAGCTTTTCTTTTGGGAATTATAGGGACAGAACTTCCTAAACTGTATATAAATTTAATTATGTATGCTACTACAGCAGCAAGAATGTTACTTGCCCCAAAATGGAAAGAAGCAGAAGTCCCAGCAAAGGAAGAATGGATACAAAAACTTATGGAATATGCAGAAATGGTGAAACTTACTGAAAGAATAAGAAATCAAGATAACAAACTTTTTATAAAAGGATGGAAATGGTTTATTGAATATTTACAAACAAACCGTGAACAGAAAAGAACACTGGCAGGATTACTGTAATAACTTTCAGTTTTATAAGAATATATATTTAAAGTAGATGAATAAATGAGTAAGTTAAGTTAATTTGGAAAATGCAGAAAATATAAAAAATAAATTTAAGGAACTGCAGAAAGAGGGGAAAGGAAGTCAAACTTTGAAATGTTTAAATGATTGTAAAATTAATGAAATGTATAAATTTGAAAAGTATAAATAAAAACTTTAATAGTAATAATAATAATTTTAAAAGTTGCCCCTGCGACGTTATTAGTAACAACTCAGTACTTTAGCAGGATTAACATAGAATGAACAGTGAAGATATAAATGAAAGGGAACTTTAAAAGGAAAAAATAAATAAATACTGTAAGGTAATAATTAGAATATGCAGTAATAAAGACAAAACGTAAGAAACCAGAGGGGGTGGGAGGTAAGCCGATTTGATGGGTTGACTTTATTGAATTTGTATAATTGTTGTAAAACTGAAAATTTAATTTAATTTTTTTTAAAAAAAAGAATTATAAAAGTTGTTGGAGCAGAAGAATGCAGAAACTTCTAGGGAGATCAGACTACTGGGGACTTACTATTAGACATGACTTCCATGAGAATCAATTCAGTCTGGGCTTAATGTATTTTATTTACTTACAATATTTATAGCCAGCTTGTCCTTGAATATTTTTAATCACAGAGCAGGGAACAAAATAATAAAAATAAACAGAAAAATAATACACAAATAAAAAATCAACGTACAAAATTTACAAAATCATATGAAGCCCAATATACAGGACCGTATCATCAACAACAGAATTACAACACTAAGATCCAGCACAGAAGGCCTTCTGGCAGTTCCCTCCCTGCGAGATGTGAAGTTACAGGGAACCAGGCAGAGGGCCTCCTTGGTGGTGGCGCCCACCCTGTGGAATGCCCTCCCAGCTGATGTCAAGGAAATAAACTACTATATGACTTTTAGAAGACATCTGAAGGCAGCCCTGTTTAGGGAAGTTTTTAATGTTTGATGTCTCAGTGTGTTTTTATATTTGGCTGGAAGCTGCCCAGAGTGGCTGGGGCAATGCAGTCAGATCGGTGGCATATAATAATAATAATAATAATAATAGGCAGAAGGGTGGGGGAAGGAGGGTACAAAAATGTAAACTTACAACCCTGCGAGGTAGGCTGAGCTCACCCAGTGTCAGAAAGTGAGAGGAGGGGAGAGCCTTCCTGCTGCTTTGAATTTTGAATTCTGGTGCTGGAGGAGACTCTGGAGAGTCCCATGGACTGCAAGAAGATCCAACCTCTCCATTCTGCAGGAAATCAGCCCTGAGTGCTCACTGGAAGGACAGATCCTGAAGCTGAGGCTCCAATACTTTGGCCACCTCATGAGAAGAGAAGGCTCCCTGGAAAAGACCCTGATGTTGGGAAAGATGGAGGGCACAAGGAGAAGGGGACGACAGAGGACGAGATGGTTGGACAGTGTTCTCGGAGCGACCAGCGTGAGTTTGACCAAACTGCGGGAGGCAGTGGAAGACAGGAGTGCCTGGCGTGCTCTGGTCCAGGGGGTCACGAAGAGTCGGACAACAACATAGTAGTATGAAAACAGAAAAGTGAATCAAGCTATCACAGCCCTTCTGTGGTTTCCGGACTTTGGCTGTGTACACATTACTGGCTTAAAATGCACTGAGGTCCTTTCCCCTCTCCACATTTCAAACTGAGGGGTGGGGAAAAGCATAAGAACACAGTATTTCTATTAAAAAAAAACCAGGATTGAAATGGATTGTGCCTCCTGTTGTGTCCAAATGGCTTCAGAAACCATCAATGGGAGCTCACTGGATGCAGAGTAAACAGACATAGCTTTTGTCTTCTTCTGGGAGGACCTGTTTTCAAGCACTACAAAAATGTGGGCACTTCCCAGTTTCCACTGAAGGCTGTGTGTGCCTGGGTGCTCTCTTGTGCTGTTCTTTTTCATTCAGCTCTGGGGAGTCCTCAGAAATCGCAAGTGCACCAAGCTACCCGATGAAGGAAGCAGATGTCACCCAAGGATGATTTTTGCATATGCACAGTAGCAAAGTCTTCTTTTAATTCAAGGATTTGTCTGGTGTGGCAGTGACGGCCAAGCTTTTGAGGAAGAGCCACTAAGAATATTCAAAAAAAGTGGAAAAACAGCTGTAAGATGATTTGCATTTTAAGAACCTTTGTACATCAGCTTTTGCCAACCAGGGGCCCTCCAAATGTTTTAGACTACAGCTCCAGAACATCTAGGGGCCCTCAGGATGTCAAAGGGTGTCCTACATTTTGGAACGTTGTTCTTTACTCCAGAATTTTACAGTTCCACATAATGGATGGCTCCTTATTTGAGAAACACAATGACCCCTTTGAACTCTTTAGAACAGAAAAAAACAACATGCTGTACTGCTGCAGTGTTGTG